TGTGAAGGCAGCAAGCCCATAAATCAAAACTGTCCTTTGTCGGCACGTCCTGGGATCCAGCCTAATTGAGGCCAGCAACCAGCAACAACCCAGCTGCTACCACCACATATTTGCCCACGTCTTTACAGAGCCATTCTCATCTTCTACCACTGTTGAAGGCACACCATACTTTGTCAACTCCGGGTCAAGACGGCACGCCAAGTACAAGTACCTTCTTAGTGGGCCCCTTCACCTGTACCAGTCCCCATGAGGCCATGCACAAGCTTCTATTGATGCCACCCACTTTGACCACTGTGTGGACGGCAGTCCTCTCCTACACAGTGGAAGCACCACCCCTGCTTTGTCAACTCCAGTGAAGGGCAGCAGTCCATTAACAACTGTGCTTGTCAGCACGTTCCTGGGACCAGCCCTACTGAGGCCAGCACACCAGCAGCAACTCCAGTTACCACCCAATTGTTCCACGTCTACACAAAGACCATCTCATTTTCTACCACTGTAGAAGGCACCACCGTAACTTTGTCAACTCTGAGTGAAGGCGGCACGCCAAGTGCAAGTACCCTCTTTAGCACTGCACCTGGAACCAGTGCCACCGAGGCCAGCACACCTCCTGTTGATGCCACCACATCTGTGACCCCTGTGGTTGAGTCCAGTTCTCCTACCACAGTTGATGGCACCACCCTTGCCTTCGTCAACTCCCAGTGAAGGCAGCAGTCCATTAACAACTGTCTTTGTCAGCCCTTGCCTGGGACCAGTGCCCCTGAGATATCACACCTCCTATTGATGCCACCACATCTTTGACCACTGTATTGAAGCCAGTTCTTCTCCGACCACAGTTGGAAGGCACCACCCTGTCTTGGTCAACTCCAGTGAGGCAGCAGTCCATTATCTACTGTCTTTGCCAGCACTACCTGGACCAGTCCCCATGAGCCAGCACACCTTCTATTGATGCCACCACATCTTTGACCACTGTTCATTCAGGGCAGTTCTCCCTACAATAGTGGATGGCACCACCTTGCCTTTGTCAACTCCCAGTGAAGGCAGCAGTCCATTAACAACTGTGCTTGTCAGCACGTTCCCTGGGACCAGTCCTACTGAGGCCAGCACACCAGCAGCAACTCCAGGTTATACCACCACCTATTTGTCCACGGCTACAGAGGCCATCTCATCTTCTACCACTGTAGAAGGCACCACCATAACTTTGTCAACTCAGAGTGAAGGCGGCATGCCAAGTGCAAGTACCCTCTTTAGCACTGCACCTGGCACCAGTGCCACCGAGGCCAGCACACCTCCTGTTGGATGCCACCCACATCGTGACCCCTGTGTGAGTCCAGTTCTTCAACGACCACAGTTGATGGCACCATCCTGCCTTCGTCAACTCCCAGTGAAGGCAGCAGTCCATTAACAACTGTACTTGTCAGCACCTTGCCTGGGACCAGTGCCCCTGAGACTAGCACACCTCCTGTTGATGCCACCACATCTTTGACCACTGTATTTGAAGCCAGTTCTTCTACCACAGTGGAAGGAACTACCCTGTCTTGGTCAACTCCCAGTGAAGGCAGCAGTCCATTATCAACTGACATTGGGAGCACCGTACCTGGGACTGGTCCCCATGAGGTCAGCACACCTTCTATTGATGCCACCACATCTTTGACCACTGTTGTTGATGGCAATTCCTCTCCTACCACAGTGGAAGGCACCACCCTGCCTTTGTCAACTCCCAGTGAAGGCAGCAGTCCATTAACAACTGTGCTTGTCAGCACGTTCCCTGGGACCAGCCCTACTGAGGCCAGCACACCAGCAGCAACTCCAGGTTCTACCACCACATATTTGCCCACGTCTACAGAGGCCATCTCATCTTCTACCACTGTAGAAGGCACCACCGTTCCTTTGTCAACTCCGAGTCAAGGCGGCACGCCAAGTGCTAGTACCCTCTTTAGCACTTCACCTATCACCAGGGCTACTGAGGCCAGCACACCTCCTATTGATGCCACCACATCTGTGACCCCTGCAGTTGAGTCCAGTTCTCTTACCACAGTGGCAGACACCACCCTGCCTTGGTCAACTCCCAGTGAAGGCAGCAGTCCACCAACAACTCTCCTTGCGAGCACCTTACCTGGGACCAGTCCCAATGAGGCCAGCACAACTTCCATTGATGTCACCACACCTTTGACCACTTTAGTTGAGTCCAGTTCTTCTCCTACCACAGTGGAAGGCACCACCCTGCCTTTGTCAACTCCCAGTGAAGGCAGCAGTCCATTAACAACTGTCCTTGTCAGCGTCTTGCCTGGGACCATTGCCCCTGAGACTAGCACACCTCCTGTTGATGCCACCACATCTTTGACCACTGTAGTTGAAGCCAGTTCTTCTCCTACCACAGTGGAAGGAACCACCCTGTCTTGGTCAACTCCCAGTGAAGGCAGCAGTCCATTAACAACTGTGCTTGTCAGCACGTTCCCTGGGACCAGTCCTACTGAAGCCAGGACACCAGCGACAACTCCAGCTGCTACCAATACATATTTGCCCACTTCTACAGCGGCCATCTCATCTTCTACCTCTGTTGAAGGCACCACCATACCTTTGTCAAGTCCGCATCAAGGCAGCACACCAAGTTCTAGTACCCTCTTTAGCACTGTGTCTGTCACGAGTCCCACTGAGGCCAGCACACCTCCTATTGATGCCACCACATCTGTGACCCCTGTTGTTGAGTCCAGTTCTTCTTCTACCACAGTTGATGGCACCACCCTGCCTTCGTCAACTCCCAGTGAAGGCAGCAGTCCATTGACAACTGTCCCTGTCAGCACCTTGGCTGGGACCAGTGCTACTGAGGCCAGCATACCTCCTGTTGATGCCACCACATCTTTCACCACTGTATTTGAAGCCAGTTCTTCTCCAACCACAGTGGAAAAAACCACTCTGCCTTTGTCAACTCCCAGTGAAGGCAGCAGTCCATTAGCTACTGTCCTTGCCAGCACCTTACCTGGGACCAGTCCCAATGAGGCCAGCACACCTTCCATTGATGCCACCACATCTTTGACCACTGTAGTTGAGGGCAGTTCTTCTCCTACCACAGTGGAAGACACCACTCTGCCTTCATCAACTCCCAGTGAAGGCAGCAGTCCATTATCTACTGTCCTTGTCAGCACGTTCCCTGGGACCGGTCCTACTGAGGCCAGCACACCAGCAGCAACTCCAGGTTCTACCACCACATATTTGCCCACTTCTCCAGAGGCCATCTCATCTTCTACCACTGTTGAAGGGGCTACCGTACCATTGTCAACTTCGAGTGAAGGCAGCACGCCAAGTGCAAGTACCCTCTTTAGCCCTTCACCTGGCACCAGTGCTACTGAGGCCAGCACACCTCCTATTGATGCCACCACATCTGTGACCTCTGTTGTTGAAGCCAGTTCTTTTCCTACAACAGTGGAAGACACCACCCTGCCTTTGTCAACTCCCAGTGAAGACAGCAGTCCTTTAACAACTGTCCTTGTCAGCACCTTGCCTTGGACCATTGCTACTGAGGCCAGCACACCCGTTGTTGATGCCACCACATCTTTCACCAATGTAGTTGAAGCCAGTTCTTTTCCTACAACAGTGGATGGCACCACCCTGCCTTTGTCAACTCCCAGTGAAGACAGCAGTCCATTAACAACTGTCCTTGTCAGCACCTTCCCTGGAACCAATCCCACTGAGTTCAGCACACCAGTAACAAGTCTTGTTGACACGAGCAAACCTTTCACCTCTTCTACTGAGTCCAGTTCTTCTGCTACAACTTATCAAGCCACCTCTATATCTGTGTGGACAGATACAGCAGAAAGCAGCCCTCCAACAACTCATCTTGATACTACCCCATGTGGCAGCAGTCCCACGGAGTCCAGCACAGCTCCTGTTTTTGCCACCACAGCTTCTACTACTGTAGTTGAAGCCAGCTCATCTCCTACCTCAGTAGTAGTTAGCACAATGCCTATGTCTACAGCCAGTGAAGGAAGCACTCCAGTAACTAGTGTCCTTGTCACCAACCTACCTGGGACCAGTCCTTCTGAGAGTATCACAGCATCAACAGCTGTGGACACCACTATACTTTTAACAACATCTCCTGACACCATTTCTTCTCATATACCTATTGAAGACACCACTACATCGGTGTCAACTGGTACAGAAGGAATCACCCGTAGGACAACAAGTTTTGTTAGCAACCCTCCTGTGACCACTTCTGTTGTTGTCACTGCTGCAACAAGTGTTGCTGGGTCTTCCCCTGTGACAACTTTCACCCAAGTCACCACACCATCAACCAGTAACAGTGGTGCCACCACATCTTTTTCAACTGCTGAGGAAGTCACAATCAGTGCAACGACTATTGGTGACAGCTCCACATCTGTGTCCATGTCTACTGCACCCAGCACACCTGCCACCACCAACAGTGGCTTCATGACCTCTGCTTCAACTCCCCTTGTGGCCAGTACACCTGCCACCTCCACCTCTGTCAGCACCAGTCCTGGGGCCCCTCCATCAGAATCCAGCGTGCCATCCACCATTGCCTCTCACACCACCTCTGCCACGTTCCCTCCTGCCCCCTCCAGCAGACCCCCACCAACTTCTGCCTCCTCCACACCTGTGACCCCTGCCACCACAACAACCAGGTCAAAAACCAGCACAACGACTACACCCAAGTCCACGGTGTCTACCCCTACTGTCCCCACCAGGCCCTCGACTTCTACAGTGAGACCCACTCTCGCCCCAACTCCTGCTGTGGTCAAGTGCCAGAATGGAGGCATCTGGGATGGGATCAAGTGCGTGTGCCCCAGCCCATACTATGGGCAGAAGTGTGAGGAAGTCTTCGACAGTCTCGAGATGGGTGAGCATGAGCCCAGAGTCCCTGACCTGCAACCCCAGGCCCAGCCTCCATGCAGGCCCCTGTCTCTGCCCCACCTTGATGCGTGGCTGCGAATATGGCCTCTTCTGGGCTGTATTTTTTTTACCCAGTGGTAAGAAAGCTATTTAAAAATGCATAAGATTGCACTCATTGCATTGTCCCCCCCCAAAAAAAAATGCATAAGAAAAGAAAGGAACGTTTTGGAACAAAATACAAACGGCACAGCATGCTACCATAAAACACACTTAAAATAAATGAGTATGCGGAGGAGCAGGAGGCAAAGCTTGTGCCCCCTCCCTCCAGGGGCGTTCTGATGAGACAGGGCGGGACGGGGCTGGGAGGCTCGGGTCACTCCTTCCACGCAGGCTGCAGCTGCTGGGGTGCGGGTCTCCCGGGCAGGTGGCTCAGGGGACGCTTTGCTCAGTCAGTGCTGTTGTCCACTCCCCTCAGAGCCAGTCTTGGCCCAAGTGGAAACGACCGTGACGGTGACCAACGAGGAGTTCACCGAAGAACTCCAAGACCAATCTTCCATGAAATTCCAGGAGTTTAATAAGACATTCTCGGAGCAGGTGAGCCTGGGAGGGCAGGCCCCATGGCCACTCAGCTCCCCCTGGGAGGAGCCTGTAGGGGTTAAGAAAGCAGCTGAGGGCCATTCTCTTGTCAGATGTGTGTGAGTTTCTCAGCTCTTCTGTGTCCTCAGGGCTTACCAGGGGGGGGGGGAGGATGAAGCCAGGTTTCACTGGGGGCTGCAGGGGTCCCTGGGGCAGATCCCAGGAAAGGGGCAACTCCATTTGGCAAGTGTGCTATGGCCAGCTTGGGACACAGGCCAGGATGTGCTGTGGGACAGGACAGTCAATCTCTGCCCTCCTGCTGTCCCACGGAAAGCCATGCAGGCCCCCAGGTGAGTCCTCAGGGATGACGTGGTGGCCCCTTGCCTTTCAGATGAGCATCATTTATTCTGGAATCCCTGAGTATGTGGGAGTCAACATCATAAGGCTGAGGTGAGTATCTGCAGCAAGAGGGTCTGTGGAGTGGAAGGGGAAGCCATGATTATACAGGCAATTACAGCCACGCCCCTGTGTTCCTCTGCTTCGGCTGCCATCGCAGGGTACCCAGACCCACTGGCTTAAACAACAGAAATTTATTTCACACAGTTCTGGAGGCTGGAAGTCCGAGATCAGGGGTTTCTCCTGAGGCCTCCCTCCTTGGCTTGCAGATGGCAGCCTTCCCACTGTGTCTGCACGTGGTCTTTCCTCTGTGCATACGCACCCCTGCCGTCTCCTTGTGTCCAGACTTCCTCTTCTTATATGGACACTAGTCAGATTGGATTAGAGCTCACCCTGATGGCCTCATTTTAACTTGATCACCTCTTTAAAGACCCTGTCTCCAAATACAGTCACATTCTGAGGTTTTGGGGGTTAGGTCTCCAACACATGAATGGGGTGGGGCATAATTCAGCCCATAGCACCCCTAACAATAATGATTTTACAGATGTTTTAACACTGACAGCTTATGACCACCCTGGGAGAGAGGCTAGTGGGCCGTCCCCATTGTGCAGATGAGAACACAGAGGCTCAGAGAAATGCAATGACTTGCCCAAGGAGTGGGTTATACAGTGGTAGGGCCAGGATACAAACAGAAGTCCTGATATGGCAGGGAGAGACTGACAAACCAGAAAACCTGGGAGCAACAGCTTATTCTTTGGAGACAAAGACAAATAATTCAGCCTGGGAAGGGAAACCCCGGGGAGAAGGGTCTCCAAGTCGATGGTTGTCTCATATTCACTCCCACTTCAGCCAAAGTGGGATTAGGTTCCGTCAACCCCTCCCTACTATCAACCTCAACTTTATGAAACCCTTGAATGGTGCTGGCCAAGGGGGCTTGCATGGGTCCCCCCTCAATCACCCCTGGATGGTGAGGGAAACACTTCCAATGGCTTCTCAAAGTCAAGATCCATAATTTTCTTTCTTTCTTTTTTTTTTTTTTTTTGAGACAGAGTCTCACTTTTGTTGCTTGGGCTAGAGTGCCGTGGCATCAGCCTAGCTCACAGCAACCTCAAACTCCTGGGCTCAAGCGATCCTCCTGCCTCAGCCTTCCGAGTTGGGACTACAGGCATTCACCACCATGCCTGGCTAAGTTTTTGTATATATGTATTTTAGTTGGTCAATTAATTTCTTTCTATTTTTGATAGAGACGGGGTCTGGCTCAGGCTGGTTTCGAACTCCTGACCTCGAGCAATCCACCCGCCTCAGCCTCAGTAGTAGGATTACAGGCGTGAGCCACTGCACCTGGCAAGATCCATAATTTTCATAAGGAACTTATGCAACAGAACAGCACAAAAAACACAGCAAAATAATGTGATTCAATCAATCTCTTTCTGCCTCAATTCTAATATGAAACTTTCTCTCTCTAACAAGGGAGGCTACCCCAGATGGGGTCCAGGTGAGGTTCCCAGGCCCCTCCCAGTCCTCATTCACCATAGGTGTCCTGGTCACCTTTGGTGGCTCTTTAGTGCTCTTTAGCAAGTTAGCTCCTCTGCCTGAGAAAGGCGTTTTTCTTTCCTGCCCTAACAGTTCTGCTAGGACTAACATGCACTGACCCTGTAGGGCTCTCTTTTGTCCTCTGCCAGGAGAGGAGGTCTATAGGGCCAGGCCCTCTGTCTCTCGGGGGAAAGGGGGAGGACGGGCTTACACTCCCATCCCAGTCGGCTGCCTGCAGGCACCTGGGGCTGTCCTCCCTGGGCTGACTGCTTGCTGGCCAGTGGGTGTCTGCTCCCCAGATCCCCCTGTGAGCTCAGTGGCTGTCAGGCTTATGACACCCTACATTTCCCTCTACTGCACCTCCCCAGGCCAGATAGGAGGAGCTGGGCTCTGGAGGCTCCTGCAAGACACACGGCAGGAAAGTCACTTTTGCCCAGAGAGCAGCTCCCGAGAGGTCTGGCAGTGGGCAGATAAGAAGTGAGAATCTCTCACTTCCAAAGCAGAGAAGCAAGAGCCCTGGAAGCATCCATCTAGGTCAGGCCCCCGTTTTACAGCTGAGGAAACTGAGGCCTGTGAAGCTCATTGACTGGTCCAAGGTCAGTGAATGCCAGGGTCTCATCTGCATCTCTAGCCAGTGAAGGAGCTGGGGAGGTACCCAAGGCCACCACTATGTGGCTTCTTGTAATTGCTACTTCCATATGATGAAAGGTGGCCTTGAGCCAGAAGATCCCCTGGCTCTTCTAACTCTGATGTTATTCTCGTTCTACTATTATATATGTTATATTAATATATATTATAACTCATGTCATATAATTCTATTATTCTATATGTCATATGTAATGTTACATTGTGTTATCCTCATTATAATGTTTTCCTGTTAGTATTCCCTCCAAATCTGCTGTTTATATTTCAGCCTCAGAATATAGTGTTAAGGAGAAAGAAAGTTAAAGGTTGTGCTTGGCCTTCCAGTATTTAGGAAGCTTGAATTGTGAGCATCGGAAGGCTGGACTTTAACTGTAGTTTAAAACCCAGAAAGTACTTGTTGCTGGGGAGTAAATAAAACCCTGCACTCTTCAGAGGGAAGGAATTTGCATTTTGGAATATGAGCTTGCTGACATTGAGGCATTCCTAGTTCTCTTTTGCAAACACAGGGGCTAGACCACTCTAACTGGGCTTGGAGTTAGGGAAGAGGAAAGTTAGCCACTGAGCAGGAGCCCTGTGGATCCTGAGGCCAGGTTGTCTTGACAGGACTGACCCTGGCTTCTAAATCTTGGGAGAGACTTCTGCCTGGGACTTTAGCCTTTGGGGTGTCAGAGACCCTTTTAGAACTGACAAAAATGTGTATGGTTAGAAAAACTGCACATATGCACTTTCACAGTTTTACATTCTTACGAGGCTCACAGACCTGTTCCTGGAGTTCATGAGCCCCGTAAGAGTCCCTGGTTTGACAGTGCTCGCCCAGTGAGGGCGGCCATCATCTTAACCATCCTGCCCCAGCTGCCTTCCCTGGGCAGCAGACAGGGTGTGGCCGGGCTGGGGAAGGGGTCGGAGAGGTGAGCACCAAGTCTGACCCGAGAACCACTCCCCTGCCCGCAGTTCCGGCAGTGTGGTGGTGGAGCACGACATCATCCTGAAGGCCAAGTACACCTCGGAGTACAGGGAAGTACTGGAGAAGGCTTCCGAGAAGGTGAAAGAAAAAATCGAGGAAGTGACCAAAGAGCAAATAATGAGTAACAGTACCTGCCTAAGTACGCTTCTAGGCCTCCAGGGAGAGGAGGGGGGTGTCCTCAGAGAATCTTAACCTTTGTCATCCTCCAGCCCATTTTGTCCCTGGGGTGGGGCAGGGGAGAGATGCCCGAATCGGTCCCAAAGCTTGTTGCTCAGACTGGCAGACTCCAGGACACCCCTGGAAAGCTGTCTGCAGGGCCAGGTGCACACACGCAGGCTACAAGGGGCGCCAGTACCGAGGGGTACAGGCCAGGACAGTCTGCTGGAAAAAGAGGACTCGTGCCACTCGTGCCGCAGATGCTTCTAAACATAAGGAGCCGTGTGCGGACTGTGGCAGAGGGCACAGGGGACACAAGGACACAGGGAGGCACCATTCTGGAGGGTTGGACATGAGGCTGGAGACCCCCACTGCAGGGGCCGTTCCCCACTCCCCTCCCCCCCTTACCCCTGGCCCGCGAGCACACGGTAAGGGGCTTTCTGTGTCTCCTTTGCAGCCTTGCTGTGCTTCAACTCGACTGCCACCAAGGTGCAGAACGTTACCGTGGCCCCGTACGACCCTCTAGGTAGGTGACACGAAGGGAGACTGGGGAGGTGGGAGCCCAGGGGGGCCAGGCAGCGCCCCCAGCCCCTGACCACCACTGCTCCCTGTGCCCCTCAGAGGAATGCCGCAAAAGCGCTGGGAACTTCAGCAAGTACTTCACAGTGGAGTACAAGGACCAGCAGCCACACTGCATCAACCCCTGCATGTCCGGCTTCAACTCCTCCGTAAACTGTAACTTTGGCAAGTGCCAGCTGAAGCTCAGTGGCCCGCAGTGCTAGTGAGTGTCCCGCCCTTGGCCAGCCCAGCCCAGCCCTCCTTCCCCCCTCCCCTCAGGCCTCACCGCCTGGAGGCCAAGGCTGTCAGCGGGGTGCCAGGCCTCCCAGCTGCCTCCCGGCCAGAGGAATTGGGTTGGCGGGTGAAGTGGGGGACATGCACGCTCCAGCCCAGTGGCTGCCCTTCCCGGGGTCCTCCCTGTGCTGAGCAAGGCTGAGGATGGTGAGAAGCTCCAAGAAAGCTCAGGAACCTCCCAGTCCCACAGGGAGAACAGGGACCTGGCCTCCAGGGAGAGAACAACGTCCCTTGGTGGCACAACAGAGAAAGAGGGCCACACACCCACTGGGCAGGGGGGACAGCCTGTAAAGCCAGTCACAGAGGGAGGAAGGCCAGGAAAGGCATTGCCGACTGAAACTGAACCAAAGGGGCAGAGACGGCTGGAGGGGCAGGTGTGGGGAAGGAGCGCCCCATGTGTGAAGGACCGAGTGGTTGTTCTGGGAAGAGGGGTCACAAGCCGGCATGTGGAGGGAAGGTCCAGGGCTCAGGGCATCTCTGTGGGGTGGGGGTAAGAGCTTCAAGGGTGGAAAAGGGGCTCTGGATCAGGGGCGGGTGTGGCTTTTCCGGGCAGAGAGGAGGGCTGGAAATGAGGATGATTGATGGGTGGGTGGAAGGGTGACTCAAGAGTCTTTAAGTCCCTGGGGGTGCAGCCCAGGAAGCCCTGGGGCTGGGCCAACTGTCCTGGGCTACTACTGGAGGCAAAACCTAAGGGCCCAGAGTGGGTGCTGGGCCCATTTAGGGCCGGCCCCATGGAGTCTAGCCTTCATCTCCACCCATCCCCTTGGGGCTCCTTGTCCTGCACCCTGGCCATCCCTCCATCACCTCGTCCTCTGCAGGGCCGGGTTCTGAGGCTGGTGCTAACTCTCGTCTCTCCCCTCCCAGCTGCCTGAGCACGGAAACTCACTGGTACACTGGGGAGAGATGCGACGCAGGCATCCAGAAGAGCCTGGTGTACGGGCTCCTGGGGGCGGGGGGTGCGGTGGTGCTGGCTGTCCTTGTCGGCCTCCTGGTGCTCACATTCCGCTCCAGGAGACAAGTGAAAAGGTGAGCTGCTACCACCCCCTCTTCTCTCCTTCTGTCTTCAATTGCTTCTTCCTTGAGGTGGACAGTGGGGTAGCCAAAGGCAGGGACATAGCTTGCCTCTGGGTCCTTGTCCATGTTCCCTGATCATAATGAGGTCCCTCTGGTATTTCTGTTAATAGGCAAAAGCACAGAGTGTCTCAGTTGTACAAGTGGCATGAAGAGGAGGGTGGACCAACCCCTGGGACCTTCCAGAACATGGGCTTTGACATCTACCAAGGTATTGGCGATCCTCAGTGCACTTGGAGTGGCTCAGAGTGTGGAAACACACATATGGGAGGCAGGTGGGAATACGCTGAGGCTTAAAGGAGCCAAAGGGGAAAGTATTTCCCGTCTCCAAAATGTCAGGCTGGCTCCACATTCAAAACCCGATTTCCACTGCTGGCTCCAGCGATACCCTGAATGGAGCACAGCGTAACTAAACCACTGGGTCCTTGACGGTGGTAGATTTCTCTAGAACACAAAACTGTGCCCAGGTGGACCTGCATGAGTACCCAGGAGTAGGTGAGCTCATTGACAAGTGAGTTGTATATCTCAGTAAAGAGGTTAACATTAGATTTAGTTAGGTTAAATGTGCATGTTAAAATTTCTAAAAATAAGAGCCTTTAAAGTCTAAAGAAGGAAAGACACGGAATGAGAAAATTTCTAGAAATGGTCTTTAAATTGTAAAGAAGGGAAAGATTGGAATAAGGGAAAAGTCCAGTCAATCCACAAAAAGGCATGAGAGGGAGAAAAATAAAAAGTTAGGACAGAGAGCACAAATCAAGATGGTAGAAAGTAATCCAAGTTTATCAATAATCATAAGGGGAGTGGATTAAACACTCGGGTTAAAAGAGTGGAATTTAAAATCAAAGGTATGGGAAAAGACAAAACAGAGAAATTCTTATATGTAGCTACATTCATCACAGGCGAATTCACTTTAAAGAAAAAAGAATTACTAGAGATAAAAAACGATTAAGATTGGGAAATAGCTTACTCTGTTAGGCACAGGTCTAACCTGTGTGCCCTATTAGAACAACTTCAAAATATACAAAGCAAAAATTGACAAAACTACAAGGAAAAATTGACAAATCTACCAACATGGTGAGAGATTTCTAAAACACTCTTCTTAAATAATTGACTGATCAAGGAAACAAAAGTCATCAAGGATTATAGAACTTTTATACAAAATATTTTACAGTCTCAATACAATACAGAACACCACATTCAATGACTAGAGAATACACATTCATTATAAGAGTCCACAAAAAACTTGTAAGGATGGCCATACACAGGCCATAAAAACATCTCAACAAATTCCAAAAAATGTATTTAAGTCAAACTATATTTTTTGACCATAGTGCAAGTAAGTTAGAAATCAATAATAAAAATATTTCTGAAAAACAAAAATCCCATATCTTTGGAATTTTTTTTAAAAAGTTTCTAAATAACTCATGGACCAAATAAGAAATCATAATGTAAGTTAGAAAATACTTGGATCTGAGAGTTAATGAAAATACTTGGTATCAAAACCTGCGGGATGGAGCTACAACTGCGTCCCACATTCAAAACTCAGAAGGAAATGTATAGCTTTAACATGCTTGTGTTAGGGGGCTGCTGAGGTCAGGTGATTTAGGTAGTCTGTCACATTTTCAATGGTTTTCAGTTTCCTGGGAGTGGGGACAGACTCCATCATCCTCCATTAAGTGGGATTAGATGGGGAGAAGAGAGCTTGTCTTTCTAACCACCTGTTTCTGCGGGGCTTTCTACCCTTCCAGAGAAAGATGATTCCATCTACCTGGACTCCATCTATAGTAACTTCCAGCCTTCACTGAGACACATAGACCCTGAGACAAAGGTAAGAAATGCCTAGATGAGATGCTTGTCTTTCCTCACCCTGAGACCTCAGCTCCCCCTCTACACGGTAGGACCTTCAGGAAAGCAAAGTCATGTTTAGGGTTTGTGGGTCCAGGTGACCCCCCTGACCCACACTGCCAGGAGAGGGGCATCTCAGGGTGAGATAAGAGCTAAATGGCAAGGTAGGGCCCCCTTCCCTAGCTTCCTGGAACTTCAAGCTCTGAGGTGTCCTTTTCCACTCTAAGCATGTCTTTGATGGCCAACTTATTTAGTGATTCTAATTTTTAAACACACACAAAAGTCAAAATAGTAGTGCAAAAAGCTTAACAATGTTTAACATGTTGCCATGTTTTCTTTCTTCATATCTATTCATTCACTAACATTTGCTGAATCATTTGGAATTCAGTTGCAAACACTATGACACTTGATCCCTAAACACTTCAGCCCACATTTCCAAATACCATTATCACACCCAACAAATTGATGAAAATTTCACAATATTATCCAATATCTAATTTTCCAATTATCCCAGGGACATCATTTATTACTAGTTTTTTCAGATGTGGATGCCACAAATTTTACTCATTGGCTTTCCTTTTATCTCTTTGGGTTTTTAAATTTAGAACAGGCTGTACCTTTTTAAATATATTCATTTTTTTAAAAAAGGAATCTAGGATGACTGTCTTGAGGAATGTCTCATATTCTTGATTGGTCTGATTACTTCCTCATGGTGTCATTTAACTTGTCCCTCAATCCTCTATATTTCCTATACACTGGAGGTCAGGTCCAGAGGGTTGATTAGCATCAGATTAAATATTTTTGTTGTGTCATAGATAACGTTATTACCTCACCCGAAGAAATACATAATGTTGGGTTATCTTGCTATGAATAAGGCCAAGATTGGTCACTTGGGTAAGGGGTGACCACCTCTTGATTACCACCTTAATGCTATTTCAACTGGATGTATATTTGAGAGTAGAAGAAATACCAAGTGTGATTGGCCTCAGGCACTGGACCCCCTAGAGAGAAGCCTTGGGGCAAAGATGAAATCTCTGGTCAGGATTCCTGTAAACTTAGCTGGTGGGGAGGGGAAGAAGTAATTGGTTTGTGCTAGACTCCAGGTAACAGGACAAGCTTCCCAAACCCGGGTTCCTCATGCACCCAGCCCTCACCTAGTCTTATTTCTCTTTTCAGATTCAAATTCAGAGGCCCCAGGTGATGGTGACTGCATTTTAAGACACAAGCAGTTTCACTTAGAGCTCTGGAGTCCTAGAGAGAGGAGATTCCAGTTCAGCTAAGCTTGGTGGAACATTTCCCCATTGAGAGCACCCCACAGGGAGTTGATGAGAAGCAACCCCTGGACCAACCTAAAAGGAGAGAGAGAAGAAAGACAACAGTGTTGGGAAACTCTCAAATAGAAACACCACGGAAGCTCCAATGGTCTTGTCATGATACCAGGTTACACCCTCCTGCTTGTTTCCAGAGAGGTTCCTACTTACGCCGGCCCAGGTTCAGCACCAAGGACAGTACTCACCAGCCCGTTTCCAACCCTGACCCCCATCAACACTGGACTGTACTTTATGTTTTACAAAATACTCTTGAGAATTAGAGTGTCCCATCTTCATGGAAACATATATATGAGAGTATATAAAGTACATACTATTATGAGTATTTTTATAGTTCTTACTTTTATGGCTTCTGATTTTTCCTTGGGAAATATAATTATATGTATTTATGAACACTAAAAACAATAAAATCAATTTCTTTATAATTTTCATGGTCCCCAGTTGCTTCCCTATAGAAGGGCCTGTTTCTAATCTGCCAGGCTCTCTCTCCTCCAGAACATACAGTCTGATGCGTTTCGGCCTCAAGATGGCAAGAGGGTGTCTGCAGCCAGGTGGGGTCCATTCCCAAGTGTCACCAGCAACACTTGTTGGCCCAGAGGATGCCAGGAGTGAAGGCAGGACCCACACACCCACTCACATGAGGCAGGGACTCATTCTCTACCAAGTTCTCCAAATTCTCCTTCTGGAAATGGGCAGATGTTTCTTGCCACAGACCTAAAGAGAGGGAGACCTGGGCTCTATTTCTAGCTTTCTCATGAACTTCCTGGGTTAAATTTGGGAAAGCTCATCTGACCATTGGGCCTCAGTCTTGCTCTCTGCCGAGTAAGAACTAGGTTATTTCTAAAGTCCCCTTCATCGCTGTCATTCTTAACATTTTTAGGACACGTTTTTGTGATTCTGGCCACGCCACTCAGGATTCATTTTGTTCCGGAAAGTCTCTCCCAGGGAACACCCCAGGAAAGCATAACCCAAGACAGAGCCTAGACTCTTCTGCCGCCTAGTGGACACTCTGGGCATCTGCAGGCACCTGTCAGCCTCCAGCCATTCCCTCCTGGCCTCCCCCACCAGGAATCTTCAGCTACAATTGATTCATTCCCATATTTGCTCTCAAAATCCTCAGCTTCTAAAACTGAGGCTGAATCCATATGCCTTCACTTTCAGACCTGCTTCCTGCCTCTCACAGGCCCGGGCATCTGTGGCCATGGGAGGGGGCCTGCCACAGGGCTGCAGACCCCACATCCTGCCTGGAGAGCTGCGTTGTCCCCCTCACACCTTCCTGCTCTCTCTCACTCCGTCCACACCATGAAGAGGCAGGACAGGGCGGCCAAACGCTCGGGCTGCCCAGGCCCAGCTCTCGGCAAGCCATGGACTCCCTGGGTGAGCTTAGGAAAGCAAATTCTTCCCTCTGAACCTGTGTTCTCCCATCTGTGAGAGCCCAGTGGCCATTTACCATGTGTCAAGCACTGTTTATGATTCCCGGTCTACAAATGAGGGAAACTGAGGCAAAGAGACATCCAGTAATTTGCCCAAGATCAGGCAGCCAGCGGGTATGAAGCTGGGGTTAGAAGCCGAGGGTCTGGTGGTCAATCCTGTGTTTTGGGCCATCAGTTATATGCCCTCTCTGTGGGGTCTCTCTTGGAATAAACTGGGTTAATCCATGTAAAATGCTTGAAACAAAGTCAGGCACATAAAAAGTTCTGAAAGAAAGAAAGAGAGTGGGAGGGAGACAGAACATTATCTATTGTTGCATCAGTTTTCTTCTTCACAATTCTCTCTTTGCAGCCCCTCATTCTTGTTGTTGTTGTTGTTCATAGCTGCTTTATTTGTAATACCCAAAAACTGGAGAAAATCCCAACCTCCATCAACATTTTAGAGGTAGAAAACAGGTGAGAAAATTAAGTAGCTTGCTCAAGATCACAAAGAGACTAAAATGGCAGGGCCAGAATATGAACCCAGGTCTAAAGGTTTACAAAGCCCAGGCCTCTTTCCCCTATGCAAATCTATACTGGGCTACCTTCCAGAATTACTGCATGATAAAAGCTCAAATACCACCCAAATTCATATCAATTAGGCCAGAAAACAAGTTTGCTCCTAAGCATAGGGGGAAAAGGAGCCAAGAAGGCTTGACTTAAAAGTTAGGAGAGTTCGGGAACCTTAGGTGATCCACCAGCTCAAAGATCTGCGCTAAAAGCAGGGCAGGTTTCAGACCCTCTTGTAGAAGTTACAGGGAATATAGTCCTATTAACTTCCTCAGCTGAAATCCCATCGGTGTGCTACCCAGCCTTCTGCCCAAAACATTAAATTAGGTTTATTCTCAGATCCAACTTAAAGGCAAAACAAAACCCTAATTCAAGTTTAGAGATATCTCACACTATCAGGTAATTCTTTGCCATCAAGAGAGAAAAATCCTCTACTCCAAAATATAAGAGATATAATGCAAAAGTAGGAGCAAGATAACAATAGTTTAATAAACAAATACAAATTCTCTCTTTTTTTTCTTTTGAGGTAGCATCTCGCTCTGTTGCCCAGGCTAGAGTGCAGTGGCGTCATCATAGCTCACTGTGACCTCAAACTCCTGAGCACCACAGCCCTTCATTCTGAAGTCTCTTCTTCCCCCTCCTCCTCCAACATGGAAGGGTGATGGTTGGACTTGGGACAAGTTGGAAGGAAGACCGTCACTTTGCAGAAACAGGGAGATCCAAATGCACAGAGATGCCAAAAGATGGTAGGAGGCAGATACAGCAAGGCACAGGGAGGAGGGTCCAGTGTGGGCTTAAAGGCAAAGAGGAACTTAGGGACTACCCCTTGGGATTCACACTGACCACGTGTGCTGTCCCGCACAGTCACGAAGATCCTCGCGCCACTGCTTGCCCTTCAGTGCTGCTCCTGGCCAGACCCACGGGTCTGTTCATGGGATCACCTCGGGCCCAGCCCGTGGTGTCCACCAGCCTCACGGCTGCTCTTCCTATGACCTGTCCTGGTGCCAATCACTGCTTCCTCCTGTAGCCCACCGTCTCCTTCCCGATTGTGCTGTTCACCTGCTCAAAACACTGACACCCCTGCCCTCTGATTAAAGCAAAATTCACTCCTCAACATGGTTGTCAAAGTCCCTGGAACCGGGCCTCATCTCCTCTCCCGGCTCCATCTCTCCTTCTACCCACGCCCCACCGTGTGGATTGCTGAACTGACACCCCCTCTCCCGGGCAGCTCTTCAACCTCATCCTCCCACATCATCCTCTCTAGAACCTGACCCATCCTGCAACTCCAATTCCACTTCCTCCAGGAAGCCCTCCCTGATACAACCCTTGTATATTTCTGTCATCCTGTTCACCATTTCCCCTTGTCCACTCCAGGGCGAGGGCGAGGCTCTGGTCCCCTCTGTGCCTGGTGCATAGAAGATGCCACGAACTCTAACAATTAAATCGAAAGTCATGTCCACAAAGTCTTAAAAAACACTTCCTGTCACATTCATCCTGTCCTTCTGGTGCTCCTTTGGGGCTTGTATCAACAGGACATAATCAAATTCTTATTTGTTCTCCAATTGCTTCCTGCATGCTTCTCCCCAGTCCTGTGGACAGCGCTGTCCCCTGTGGGTCGCAGACTCTAGCTCAGGCTGTGCAAGCTGTGGGCACTGGTACACCCCGGGCTGCTCTTTCTCCTGAACCATGGCCAAGCCTCTCCCTTTCTGGAAGGGATCAAGACAAAAGGAACGGTCAGCAGAGCTCTTTCTCCATCCCTGGGGTGCCTGCGTTTGAGAACAAACACAGCATCTAGATCTTTCTCCTTCTCTGAGTCTTTTCAGGTCATCCAGGGTCGCCAGACACCTTGGGGGTGGGGCAGGAATGCGATGAGCCTGGAAATTCAAGGACCATTTGCTGACACATAGACTAAGGCTGATGCCACCAGCCCACCCCTAAAATGTACGGAGATGAAGGAACCATTTTCCAGAGCATCTTGTCACGTTCAGGTCTCCGGCGGGCAGACTAGAGTATGGCCTCACAGATGACAGCAAGGGCCTTGGCATTTAGAACCCCGGGGATCGTGGGAGACCTGGGAAGACGTGACCCATTGTGTTTTGCAGCTGAGGGCAATGTGCCTCTGTGGTTGGTGTTTAAATTACACCCCCAAGTCGGGCAGGCCTGATTCATCGGCAATGATACAGCAGGCGGGGGAGCTGGCGGCTTCCTAAGCCGGGCTGCCTGGCGAGAGGCAGGACTCACAGGGGAGCTGGGCAGCTGAGGAAATTTACTGCGTGGCGTAGCCAGGGAAGTGGAATTGAACCTGGGCCGTCATCAGCCTGATTAGCTCCATGCCTCCTGGAGGGAGCCAAGGGCGCGGAGGCAGCGCCGGGGAGGGGGGCGGGGAGCCTGGTCTGCTGGCACTGAGGCGGAGTCCCAGGAGCTGGGTCTGTTGAGGTCAAGAGCAGCCGGGCCCCAGAGAAGCGCAGAGCAGCAAATCCGGAGAAAAGACCCTGACAGCCAGTCCTGGGAGAGAGGGTGGATCCAGGGTGGAGAGCAGGCTAGAGGCTGGGAAATGCAGGCAGGTGTGAGTTGGGGGGAGGGACATGGGCTGAACTGGGGGGCGCATAGCACCTGCTCGCTGAGGGCCGGCTCAAGGGCAGGCGCTGGCCAGTGAAAGGCTCAAGGGCTGCCTTCAGCAACGCCTCTTCTGGTCCCAAGCAGCCCTGGCCTCTGGCACGAGGTTCCTGCAGGGCGGCTGCAGGAAGCCCTGGAGCTCTGGCTTAAGAGACCCAACTGCAGCCTGCTGCTCCTGGCACCCCATTTATACAGGATGCGAAATTTGAACCTTTGGGAAAAGAGGGCCCAAAGTGCCAGGCAAAGACTGAGTGGCCTTGTTCTCCACAAGCGATACAGGCCACTGACAGCCCTGCCAGGTGGAGACATTTCCAGGCTTCCAAAATTGTCCTGATGGCAGTCATCACTCAGCCATCCGCGAGCCCTTGGAATAGGCCAGGCCTGGTCCTAGCAACAACGCACATGCGTTAATTCAAAGCTTCCCAGCTGGGGTGCCTGAAGCCAGTGTGCCCCAAAAGGGTAACAGGTGTGCAGGGAGAGGGAGCCCCCAGCCCTCCGGCCACGGAGCAGGGCTGGAGCCCAGCCCTCGGAACCTGTGGTCTCCGGGTCTTACTCACACACGGGCGGGGCATGCAAAAGCACTGCGAGCACAGCATTTTTTTATTTGACCCTCACCATAGTTCTACATGGCAAGTCCGTTTATCATCCTCACAGATAAGGAATCTTGGAGTTAAGTGGCCTGCCTAGGGCAGCCCAGCCAGGAAGGAATAGACTTGCCCTGGGCGTGTTTGATATCAAAGGCCACTGTGAGAACAAGCTCAGTGGGCAGACTGC